CTCCCAGTCTGTCCCCATGCGCAGGCTTCCGGGGCGGTCACCTGGTGGACTGGGGCCAGCGAAGTCTCCATGCGCCCCCTCCTCCCCCAGCAGAAGGGGGCCTTCTCGTCAGTGGTCTCGCTACGGCTGCTCCAAGCGGGGCCCGGGGACGTTGTTGCTGGGCCCCGGGTGCGGTGGGCGGGATATGCAGAGCAGAGGAAGCTGCGGTATAAAAGAAAAAAGGGTGGGTCCTCAGGAAAATTTCTGAGTGAGATTTGGGTGGCAGATGAGGAAAGAGGCCAGGACACTTCAGGAAGGGTCTTGGAGTGCTAAGGGATTTGGACCGAAGCCCATTGGAAGCATTTGAAGGGTTTTAACGAGAGAGTGACATTTTATTGTTTTATTATCATGTTTCTGAAGTACACTGTAGAAAAAAAAATTGAAAATGCATGTAAGGAAAGAGAAGGTAAAACACTCACAATCCTGTATTTGTGTAAATATGTGCATATTAAAATATTTTTGGAAACTGCTTTTTGATGCAGCAGTGAATACTTAAGTATCAATAATTCAATTTCTATGTATAATTTTTAAGAGTTGAGTAACAGCGGAAGGGCCACAGTTCACTTAGCAGCTGCTCATTTGTGGACCTTTATGTTATATCTTGTTTTTTATCCCTGAGGTCAAAGATACTGGAGCTCAGTTTCTGTGTACACATCCTTTTGTTCTCCCTAGCACTGAGTATTTTCCTTACATGTTTGCTAGTTGATATGTGCAAAACGGTATTGGTGTATTGTCGTTTACATTTCTTTGTTTACTAATGAGGTTGAATATTTCATCATATATAATGGCTGTGTGTATCTTTGGTCCTTGCCCAAGATGTCGGCCTTCTAGACATTTGTCGCCTGCTCTCAGCATCTTCACACTCATCCAGTTCCCTGACCTGGCCTTCCATTGCCCTCTTTCCATTCCAGGGGCCTCTGGAACATTCCTCTCTTTCCCTGGTAAATCAGCTCCTCTGTATCCTTGGCCTCCTCAGCTGCTCACAACTTCATCCCCACTGCAAGACCTCTAGTGCTCTTGATTGGCTGACAGTTTGATGGTGTCTCAGTTCCACCACTCCTAGCATGCAGAGATATTCAACTTTACTTTCACTTAGCCTCCCCATCTCTCAGCCCCCTCCTTTCTTTACTTCTTCCCTCCTACTTCATCAGTCCAACCACTCTCCTGACCAAATTGTCCTGTCCTAGCCTTCTATCAAAACCCCACCTGGCTTCTCTCTCCATGCCTACAACTGATCTGCTGCCGCAGAAAAATCATATATCCAGATTTCGTGAAAAGATGGAGTACCCTGGGGTTTTTGTATCTGTATTCATCAAGTCAGATTGGTTTGTGATTTTTTTTTTTCTTTATGCTATCTTCCTTAGGTTACCACATCAAAGTTATGCTTGTTTTTGGTAAAATAGAGAAGCTTTCCATTTTTTTCCCCTCTGTTACTGAATAGTTTAAATAGCATGAGAGTTACTTACTTGGTTTGAGAGAGCTGGCTCATGAAACCATATAGACATGGGGGTAGTTTTCGACCACTTTCTCTGTTGCCTCTATGGTTATCGGCAGGGATGATTTTTACAGTTTTACCAATTGCTATGCCAAGGACATGACCAATCAGAACAGAAACCTGACCAAATATGGTGAATGACTAAAGATGTTGGCATTGCTTAATAGTCTGTCTAGGCTTTCTTTCTTTTGGATTCACTTTTAGCAATCAGTGTTTTTCTAGAAAATCATTTAATAAAGAATTAATTTACTACATAGTCTTAGATTGTTGTACAGTCTTTAAAAAAAAACTTCCTTTTCAAATTGGAAATAACTGCATAGTTTGTACCCTTTCCATTCTGCTTCAGTTCTCTCCAAGCTTCTTGGTGATACGAATTTGAGCTATTTTTCTTGAAACACTTTCCTATGTTTGGGGGATGAGTGGTTTCATAGAGGAATAGCTCTGATTCTTTTCCCTTTTGCTTTGATTGATAAATATTTCCTACATTTCATCCTCCAGAAAGAGGGAGAAAGAGATCAATATTTATCCAATATTGAGGACTTGAAATTGCCAGAGGTAATGTGGGTCCCAGCCCATGTCTTTTTTTCCCACAGAGGAAGGCCAGGTTTCCATTTTGCTAGGTTGGGTCGCAGGGGCTACTTGACATGGAGGTGGGGAAAGACAACTGAGCTACATCCATGGCTTTGCCATTGGTTTTGTCCCGGCTGTCCCGCTGTACTGTTAGAGCTCCCAGAGTTGTCCACAGGGTTGAGATTCTAGGCTCATGGGTTGCTCAGGGCCTGTCCAGGTCTACCCATCCTGCTGCTCTGACTTTGGGAGGAGCCCCTGTCTAGCCAGAGCGCCAATGCTAGAAGGAAACAGGGAACTACCGGGGGGGGGGGGCGCATGACAGGACATTTCACTGCTGGGTCAGTCATTTCTCTTATCTCCCTTTTTGTGACAGTTCAGTGTTGACAGGGGCCTCTTCTCTAAATGTATAGTTGGGGAAATGCCCAGCAGGACCAGTAACTGCATAGGTTCTGAAGCTGTCTCCTGAGTCCCTTTGCACATTTGAGAGATGGCAGTTCAACAGTTGTCTTCTCATCCTTCATCCCTTACATGATGTATGTGGTGCTTTAGACCAGTTCTTCTCATTTAACATGCATTTGAATCACCTTGGCATCTTGTTCAAGCGCAGATTCTAACTCAGCAGGTCTGGAGTGGGGCCTGAGGTTCTACATTTCTAACAGCTCCCAGGCAGTGCTCATGCTTCCAGTCCGTCCTCTCACTTTGGGTAGTAAGGAGCTAGAGCTCATCACCTGTGCTATATTACTGTATCCTGGAAACTACCTGGCAGGTATTATAATACTCGCTTTTCAGATGGGAAACAGATGCAAAGAAGTGAAGCAGTTGGCTCAAAGATTCACAGCAAGTTAGCATTAGGAGTGGTGCTAGGATTAGCCATTTCCTTCTGTGTAACACCTCAGAACTTCCTGAGTGCCCGGTACTACGCTGGGTGCTGTGAGGCCCCGGCTGACTGGGGAAGTGGGGCATATTTTCCCCCAAACTAGGCCTCCCTCTCCCGTGGTGTAGGATTTCTCTGCAACCCTGAGCAGCAGCAACATCATGGCCAGGATCTTGGAAGGGCACGTGGGTGACTCCAAGAAAGCCACCATGTCATTACTGGCTTCTGGTACTGGAGGTTCCAGAATGCTGTGAACTTTGGCCCTGCCCTGGCCATTCTAAAAATTCTCCTCTGAGTAGTCTGACATGGTGGCTCTCTTCCCATCTCAAGCCCTCTGCTCTGGACAGGCTGGAGGAGGTGCAGCTGGAAGTAGGTCAGAGCAGCATTTCCAGAGGAGGCAGTTTATGGAGGCTGACCTTGCTCTGTGAGCCCTCCCGAGGCAGAGGCCCCTGCTGAGAGGGAAGCATGTGGGAGGAGGCTGGTCAGCCCTCCAGAAGCCCTGAAGCTATGTCGTCTGTCTCTTCTTAAGGCCATCCTGTTCCTTCTCTGCCCTCTTAGGGAAAGGGGCTGTTTGCCACACAGCTGATCCGGAAGGGGGAGACCATATTCGTAGAACGGCCCCTGGTGGCTGCGCAGTTTCTCTGGAATGCACTTTATCGCTATCGAGGTGAGCACGTCTCGCCCAGGCCCTCAGGGCTGTTGGGCGCAGCAGCCTTTGCGCGTGGAAGAGAACTACATACATCCCTGCCCGCTGATGTCTCTGGGCCTCCGGGTGTCAGGAGGAAAGCACGTCTTCCCTTGGAGAACGAACCGTACCTGAGTACCATGCCTCCGTTTGGGGCTGTGAGCCTGCAGCCGAGAGGCTCTTCCCAGGTGCTCCCTGGGGGAAGACTGTCACTCAGGTGGAATTCAGTCTGTCCCGTCCTGTAGACTGGATGTCATGCTGAGGGGCTCTGTGCCAAAGTGGAGCCCTCTATCAAGAGGAGACCACATGTCTCTTGGTCAAAAAAGACTTCATTAGGGGTCAGAAGCAAATAGGATGTCCTTAGCTTTGCCAGCCACTTGCTTTTTCTACACACTTTTCTTGGGGTAGAGAAAATATGGGAAAGGAAGGGTCAATTGGCTCCAGAATATGGGGAAAGCCCAGTTTGGGGGAGGGGTGGGGAGCCCCACAGACTAAGTCCCATTGAGAAGCACAGAGAGTCTGCCAGGAGGGGTGGGGACTCCAGAGAGGGAATAGGGCACCATCTGTCTTCGAATGCATGTGAAATTCATTCATTCATTTCATTCTTTAACTTAGTCATTCATTCACTCACTTCCCAAACTTTTATCGAACGCCTAGTGCTATTGTAGCCCTGGGGATGCTGCTGTGAAAAGGACAAATGTGACCCCCGCTCTCACGACCCTTACGTTGTCACTTCTGGCTTTCTCTCCCAGCCTGTGACCACTGCCTTCGGGCACTGGAGAAGGCAGAGGAGAACGCCCAGAGGCTGACCGGGAAACCAGGCCAGGTTCTGCCTCACCCCGAGCTGTGCTCTGTGCGCAAGGACCTCCACCAGAACTGTCCCCACTGCCAGGTGAGTGTCCCTGGGGGTGGAGCTGAAGTCCTCTTCAGGGAGACAGGAGTGAGGACAGACCTGGTCATGGCCCTTGAGAGCCCCAAGGTAGGGTAAGATGTTGAGAAGGCTCAGTTACTCCTCAGTTTCGTCCTTTCTGTTCCAGTCTGGAAAATAGCTTGGCGGGAGCTTGTCCTCATTCTCGGAGCCTGGCAGGGCTCTTCCCTGTACCTGAGAGGTAGTCTTTCCTTCCCACGGCTTTACAAGCCTGGGTTAGGTTCCCCTCTCACATGTCCCCAGAGCACCGTGTGCTTTCTCATCTCGTAATACCACTCACTACTGCCCAGGGGCTGTTCGTGGAAGGAGTGCACTTAGAGGAGGTGAGTACCACATGGGTGTCTGTGCCTCACCCCACAGCCAGACCCTAGGGCGCTGACCTCCGCCTCCCCCGACAGGTGATGTACTGCAGTGCAGAATGTCAGCTGGCCGCTGCTGAGCAGTACCATCAGGTCCTGTGCCCAGGCCCCTCGCAGGATGACCCCCTGCATCCCCTCAATAAGCTGCAGGAGGCATGGAGGTAGGTAGCATTTCATCTCTTTCCTTTATGCCTTCCCCATGCTCAGCAGATGGAGCCATCTTTGTTAAGTTACCATCGCCCAGATTTTTCCTCTATTTTTAGGGTTAAACAGAGGTCGTATCAGTCAACCCTTTCTCTTTAATCTGAGCTGCCAGTCCCACCATTTTACACCCTCCCAGAAAGAGCCCCATGAAGCCCATAGAGGTATAAAATCCTGCCCAAGTTCTTGACGATGACTTGCCCTTTTTGGTTATAAATGGGATTGGTAGGAAGGATTCTCAATAGCAATCAGACCAGGCTTCCTTGAACTCAGCTACTGGGGAGGGAATTTCTAGGCCACACCTTTTTCTTTCTCCCCAGGAGTGTTCACTACCCCCCTGAGACTGCAAGCATCATGTTGATGGCCCGGATGGTGGCCACGGTGAAACAGGTGAGCCCACCTGATCTTCTCAGGGATGCTGACTCTGGCCTCATTCAACCCTTGACTTCAGTTTCCTTCTCACCTTAAGACCCTGACTTGGATGCGGAGTTTCTTCTAGGCTTCCCAAAGGAGAGCTGCTTGCTATGTAAACCTGAGGTGTAGCGAACCAGAAATCTGGCAGGGAGAGTGGGGGCTCATCTTTCCTGTCGTCTTTGATCTGTGAGATGACTTCCGGTGTAGCAGCAATTCATGCATTTGATTTATAAGCACCACTTTTCCAGGATTGTATCTCTTAGATAAAGTGAGAGTGGCCACTCTAACCCCTTCCATTAATATTGCTGCTTATTCTTCTATTTCCCCGAGTATTGTTGAATTTGAATTGGCTAGCTGGGCACCAGCTGGGGAAATGGTTGGGTGTGGGCAGGGTGGGAGGGAAGGGTCTACCTAGAAGCTCATGTGTGATGATGTTTCTCTGAGGGCAGGGGCTTTAGAATCACGGTCTACCCCTCCCACATGGGCAGGAGTGGCAGTGAGGAGGAGGGTGTCCGTGAGTCCATGTGTGCACATGCATGTGTGGGCTGTGCACACGTGACCCTGAAGTGTGTTTGTTCACTGCAGGCTAAGGATAAGGATCGCTGGATCAGGCTCTTCTCCCAGTTCTGTAATAAAACGGCCAACGAGGAGGAGGAAATTGTCCATAAACTCCTGGGGGACAAATTCAAGGTTGGTCTTCCCCCATGACCCTCCCACCCGCCAATAGCTTGGGATGTCCATGGCTCCCTGAGGGAAGCTCCGCATTTGCTCCCTTCCCAGCCACAGAAAGAGGTTAGAGCCTGGGTCTGAAAATCTATTCAGAGAACTTGTATTCTTGCTGCCATTTAACTTCATGACCTAATGTGGTCTTAAAATTGGGAAGTAGGGTGATGACAGAGGAAGGAGGGGATGGGTGCCCTGGTGTGGATTAGTCAGGACCTCGTGCTAGGATAGCAGTGGGTAAATCGGGTTAGCGGAAAATGGAGGGTTGGGGGCCCACAGGGTCAGGGCACAGTATGAAACAAAATTTTAGTTGCCAGTGTACTGAGTGCCCACTCCGGACCAGCTACTCAGTCTCACTGACGACACTAGGAGGAGCTGCCTGAAGGAGGAGGCAGGCGTGTGAAAGGGCATGTGGGGTGGGCCTCCCTGCACTAAATTTTGGGGAAAAGAGGGGGAAGATCAAGCTACTCTGGACGCAGGTCAGGGAGCCTGGAGGGTGGTGGTGAGGACAGACATTCTAAGCCAGGCTGCCTCAGCCCTGCTGCCACAAATGATGGAAAATAGGGAGGCATCTGGGGTTTGCTACCTTGGGTTGGAACAGGCCAGCAGACTGCCAAGGCTCTTTGGAGATAAGGACTCTGGGCTCTCTTTTGCCCCCAGGGAAAGCTCGGGCTACAGAGCTGGCCCTTTTGCTTCCCTCACATGATCTCCTGGGCCCTGCCTGGGTGCTAATGGGAAGTTCCCAGGATGTCAGTCTCTCTCCACTTCCCCCAAACCAGGGCCAGCTGGAGCTCCTGCGGAGACTCTTCACAGAGGCGCTTTATGAGGAAGCACTCAGCCAGGTGAGCTGGGGAAGGTGGGACCAGTGGCCTCCCAGTGACTCCTGCTCTCCAGAAGCAACTGTCCCCTTCTAGGACAGCTAAGCCAGAGCAGACTTGGTCTTCTGGAGTTGGGATGGGACTGACTTATGGAAAAGTTCCTCAACAGAGAGTTGTACCAGGAAGAAGAAAGCAAGTGGCTGTAACCTGAGTGTTGTTCTTTCCCCCCACAGTGGTTCACTCCCGATGGATTCCGGTCTCTCTTTGCTCTTGTTGGGACCAATGGCCAAGGAATTGGGACCAGGTTAGGAGAGAATGTTCCAGAGCTATCAGACTTGTCCCTCGGGGCTCGGGTAGGAGATTGAGGAAAGTAGCCACAGCTCCTTTCGAAACTAGGGTGGGGCAGGGTGTGACTCTGGCCAGAATGCTGGACTAAACACAGTGGTGGGGGCTGGAGAGACTGGGTCTTGGGAACACTTGGTCTATTGGGAAAGGACACCACCCCCTACCCAACTCTACTCCCGGAGAAAGAAATGGACTTAACTTGCTTGGAGGTGGAGAGCCCTGTGAGCTGGGCCTCTTCTCCAACCACGGCTGCCTGGGACTCCCCAGCTCCCTGAGCCAGTGGGTCCATGCCTGTGACGCTTTGGAGCTGAAGCCGCAGGACCGTGAGCAGCTGGACGCCTTCATTGACCAGCTGTACAAGGACATCGAGGCAGGTTGGTGAGATGGAGCCTTGGCCTCACCCAACCTTGGAGATGCCCATCAGTCAGATGGTGGACACAGCCTTCCGCCAGGGAGCTCTGAGTTCACGGTTGGGGGAGGCAGTCCCTGTGTGCCTGTGGGAAGCTTCAGATCGGCCCACAGGACACACATGAGAGACGGCCCTGAGACCCATGCAGAGGCTGGATGCTGAGGGTGGACAGAGTGCCGGTATCGTTTATAGAAGAGCAAGGCTTGTGCCTCAGAGAAGCAGGTTCAGGCAAAATGGTAGTGACTGGGTGGCAAGACGGTGGAGCCAGTGCCTGTCCTTATAAGCCTACTTTCCTTTTCCCGCCTATAAAATGGAAGCAGTAACTCTGCGTGTTACTGTCTTACAGCAACTGGCGAGTTTCTTAACTGCGAAGGATCTGGCCTCTTTGTGCTTCAGAGCTGCTGTGAGTCCCGGCGTTGAGAAGGGGTAGCTTCAAGCCGCATTCATCTCTCTCGGCTCCTTCTGGGCTGGTCGAGTTGAGTCCGGGAGTGGGGTTAGGGCTGAGCTTCCTTGGGGATTTCCCCTCCATCTTCTCCTTCTATCATTTTTTTCATTCATTCATACATTGGACTGCTCGTACCTTAATATACGTTTATGTATAAGACCTTCCGGTGGGCTAGGCCCGGGGCTCGGGCAGGGGACAGAGCTCTGATTCTTGCAAAGGGAACCATGGGCTTTGCACCACCACGCCCTGTGAGCTTTGGTCAGGGAGTGTCTGAGAGCCCAGGAGGCGCTCAGGCTGGAAGGCAGTCTCATCAGCACCTGATGGGGAGGGCCAGAGCCAGCTCAGACTGTTGTCTTTTCCAGATCAGCCTCCCACCGTCTGCTTTCCTCACTGCAAACCCTTCCTCCCAAGCTCTGGGGACACTACCCGTCCCAAACTAGGCTCTCAGAGGGTCTGGCTCAGCTGTCACCAGGTGTCCAGTAACAGACAGGGCTGAGTTAAGTGGCCTGGCACGGCATCCCTTTCACAGCCCTGTCCATCCCTTTGCGAGACACTGGGAACACAGCTGAGAATGGAACTGACCAGTGAGGAGAGGAACAGGGGCGGTCATGGCAGGTAGGGGAGGGGAGTGATGCGGGAGTGCATTTGGGCCTGTGCTCTGTGGTCTTCAGGAAAGAGCACTGGCCAGGCAGTGGAGTCAGGAAACCTGGGTTCCAGGACCTGCCCAGCCCTGGCAGGGACCAGAGAACAAGGAAAGATGGGACCCAGTGCTTTGCACGGTTGAGGCTGTTCTTTTTATTAGTCAACAATCCTCATTACCTGCCTCTCATGACCCAGGCAACCACAGCTGTGTCCCCAATGCAGAGACCTCCTTCCCAGAAAACAACTTCCTTTTGCATGTCACCGCCCTGGAGGATATTAAGCCAGGAGAGGTGAGGGGGCCAGTAGCTGTGGGGGCGGGTGGGCAGCAGGCCTTTCAAGTTCTCTCCAGGAACTGGGAGCAGCCCAGCCCACGCCAGGCTGCTGGGTTGAGTCTTCACATGCCCCAGGACAGGAGTCTTGCCCATGGGCATGCTCTAACCCACCCCACTTCAAAAAACTCCAGAAAGCCTCTGAGTAGTGTTTAAGAGACAGCTGGTGCCTGTGTTCTTGTCCCGAGCTGTCTATCTGCAGCTTCTAAGGAAGCAGGACATGGCCCTTTGTGGCTTGGCCTGTGGGATGTTGGTGAGGGCTTGGGGTTCTGGCTGTTAGCACAGTGCACAGAGCCTGGTTGAAACTTCTTTCAGGGCAGGTAACTTCACTCCAAGATGACCTCTGTCCCAGAGGCCACAGACCTTGGCTGTGTGCTGCCTTTAACCGTGGCCTGAGGCTAACCACAATCCCCCGCCTCAGACACAGGTTGTTAAAGCCGCTAGCACAGGGGAGTGGATCCGAGCAGCCTACCCCTTGGCTGTAGGGCAGCTCAGGCTCCTGGGGATGGGGCAGCAGCCTGGAGGCGGGGCAGTGGCTAGGCAGGCCTAATGCCACCTGGCAGAAAGCACAGGCCCAGAGCCCGCCTCTCTCCTGCCCTTCAGGAAATCTGCATCAGTTACCTAGACTGCTGTCAGCGGGAGCGCAGCCGCCACAGCCGCCACAAGATCCTCAGGTGCCAGCTGGGGACATGGTGGGTGGCTGGGCTCCGGGCTCCCCTGTCCCGCTGGCTGCCTGGTTTTGCACCCTCACCACCACCCCCCACCCTGCAGGGAGAACTATCTGTTTGTCTGTTCCTGCCCCAAATGCCTGGCAGAGGCTGATGAACCCAACGTGACATCTGAAGAGGAGGAGGACGAAGAGGAGGAGGAAGGAGAGCCGGAAGATGCGGAGCTGGGGGATGAGATGACTGACGTATGATGTGGCCCTTCCTGGAAGGGGTCCTACCCAAGACCGTCGGAAAGGGGGGCCTTCCCCCAGAGCAGAGGCTTGGAAGGAACTCCCCACTCCCGTTGCCTGCTTTCCCCCCATTCCAGCTCTGTTTCTGCCAGAGGGTAGGACAGGCAGGACCCTAGGCCCTCCACGCCCCGCCGGACCTCACGCCCTGGACACTGCTGCTGAGGGGCTCTGGCTGTGCTGTCACTAAGCCTCTCAGAACTGGCCTCCTCCTGAGGTACGGGTATACTTGGCTGGAACGAAGGTCAGGGCCTAACAGTCTTTCTTCCCCTTGGCCCCATGGCCACACTTACCCATCCACCCCTCTCAACTTGCTATGGAGAGGGTAGCAAAGCGGTAACCTGAGAACAGCCTGATTTCAGTGAAGAAGAAAGCGGGTGAGATGCCCTCACCTCTTCCCCACCTCCCATTATTGTGGCCTGACCACTAGCACAGCTGGGAGAGGCGGGGAGGAGGAGCTGGGCCTCCAGAGCGCTTTCCCCAAGGCCCTCTACAGGGCAACACTGAACCGGGGCGATTACCCACCTCTCCCACCTCCCCACTCCTGCCATTGAGACAGCAGGGGGAGTGGAGATTAGCCCCCTCCCCAGACCCTGGAACCTCTGTGCCTTGCCTCCTGGGCCCTGGCACAGTGGCCAGCCCCATGGGATGGGTATGGAAGAGGCCTCTGCCTCCCCTGGGCGGGGGTGTGGGGGATCATCACCCCTTCACGCCCTCTTCCCATTGAGGACCCTAGCAGGATGGCTGAGACCTGGAGGATGAAAGGCCTGTGTTCCTTAATTTAGGATGTTCCAGAATCTTCTAGAAAGAGTCAGTGAGGGCCTCCCCTGGCCTCAGTCTCCATCTTTAGGGTCTCCACAGAGGAACACTGAAGTCTTCCAGAAACCTAGAAGAGCTGGGCTAGATACTCAGATTAGCCGTGACTGTGGCCTCGTCATCCCCAGATTAGCACTACCCCTCACTCTTGGGTCGGAAGCTGTGGAAGTTATAACCCATCACTTGCAATTCCTTTCTACCTGCCTTCCTTGAGGGGCCTGCCACATGCCCCTGCTGAAGGATCCCGCAGAGAGCAGGTGCCACCCCACAGGCCCTTTCCTGGGTCATGAGCCAGGTAGAATCTGCCTGTCTGGCCTATTGGGTTCTTACTCCTTCACAGCAGCCAA